AAACACTAAACCCTAAACCCTTTCACCTCCCAGAGCAGGCCGACTTGGAAGCCTACGTCGTGCGGCACGGAGGGCGGAATGTGCAGTGCCTTGGGTGGCATTCAGGCTTCCTTTTCAGGGTTTAGGGGTTTAGGGATTTAGGGGTTTAGGGTTTAGGGTTTTGGGGGTTCAGGGTTTAGGGGTTTAGGGGGTTTAGGGTTCAGGGTTCCTTTGAGGGTTCCTTTAAGGGTTCTACGAGGGTTTAGGGTTTGCTGGAAGGATTAGGGACCCTCAGAGATGAGCCCTAAGCCCCCGACACAGGCGTACCAAGGTAGCAGCCCAACTGCCAACTTCGAGGTGTTCATGCGCATGTTGGAAGCACAAGAGAAGGAACACACGCAGGTAGTTTCCACTGTCCTCCGTGTCACAGAGACCGCCCAGGCAGCTGCAGTCACAGAGAGCATCTCACGTGTTATGGCACAGCATGAAAGTGAGGCCTTTCTGCAGAGCCTCCGACACCTCATGGGAGGCAACTGAGTGCTTGAACTCACCATTTTGACAGGATCATCCACAGCATTCTTTGTTTTCCCTTAATCTGTGGGCTGTGAAGCGTGGCCTTTCTGCACAGAGCCTCCGAGGGCTCATGGGAGGCAACTTCAACTCATCATACTGACAATCATAGCACACCAAGGGCCCTAAGCCCTAAACCCTAAATCCTGCAGCCCAGGGCTCTACACTTAAGTCCCCCAAAGCCCTAAAGCTCTATAACTCTCAGACCTCAGCCCCCAAACAGGGAAACCCTGAAATCATTTTGTGCAACGTTTAGGGTCTAGGGTTTAGGATTTAGGATTTAGGGTTTAGGATTTAGGATTTAGGGTTTAGGGTTTAGGATTTAAGGTTGAGGTTTTAGGGTTTAGGGCCTACGAGACCGAAGCGTCTTCTGAGGAACTTCCTCCGCGGACGCACGGACCTGGTCCTAGCAGCTGCGTCGGCGGCTAAGACGGTTTAGGGTTTAGGGTTTAGGGTTTAGGGTTTAGGGTTTAGGGGTCTCAATAAGGGGTCTATAGGGCTTTACACAGACTATGCGGGTTGTGAAGGGTTTTGGCGGGTGTTATCAGGCGTTGGTTTCGGGTTTCGTAGCGTTCAAGGTTTGGCTTATAAACCCAAAACCCAAAGCCCTAAGCCCTAAACCGCACAACCCCAAACCCAAACGCCCAAACCCCAAACCCCAAACCCCAAAACCCTAAACCCCAAAGCCAAAACCCCAAAGCCAAACGCCGCTGAATTCCCGAACCCGGGTCCCCCGTGCATTCAGGGTGTGAACGAGCACATAAGGACGAAGGCTTGAAAGCAAAAAGAGAGTTCAGGGTTTAGGAGTTAGGGTTTAGGGTTACTATTTGGGGGTCCTTGTTATACTTCTAGAATGGTAATTAAACCCAAAACCCTGTTCTAAATATTAAGGCTTACACTTTGGGTTCTCCTTCAAGGGTATTCAAGGTTCCATATTAAGCTTCGCCTTCGAGGGAGATTGCGCTCGAGAGTTTACGTCGTTTGGCAGTGTTGGGTGTCCTGTAGTGTAAGTTTAGGGTTTAGGGTTTAGGGTTTAGGGTTTAGGGTTTAGGGTTTAGGGAACCTCAAGACCCAAATACCAAAGAACATGCAGTATCCTGAGATACGGACTGCGCTTGACAAGTAGGGCAGAAGAACTCCATTATGGTGCCTCTACAGATATAATATACTGTACTAGATATGACGACCCCTTTACTGTTAAGCCCTCTAAACCCCCTTGAAGCTCTATACAACCCTTAAAAGAAACTCTGTTCGAAAAGCAGTCTTTTTGCTAGGGCGGTGCAAGTACACGAGCAAACTAGCGATTATTACTCCTCGGCCCGAGCCCTTGCAAAGACTTCTAACACTAAAGGCCCGAACACAGCAGCATACGAAACACCACGCAAGCCCAAAACCCTAAACCCTGAACCCGAAACCACAGACCCTTGACCCTAAACCCTAAACCCTAGACCCTTAACTTTAACCCTAAGCCCTATGAACCCTAAATCCAAAACCTAAAACCCTAAACCCTCACAACCCACTGAAACGGCAGGTGCCCACAAACCCAAAGAGTCTCCCCAACCTCACAATGACAGTAACCATACTGTTGATGATATAAATCTTGCATTACCTCAGGGACCCTAATCTTTTGGAATTCTATGGTATATTCCTTATTATGGGTGATGCAGGATTGATATCATCAGCCGTAGTGATAACAGTCGTTCTAGTATTGACAGCAATACTGTAGTACTAGTATCTTTAGTAAGAGCAGTAGAAGTAGGAACTATAGTAAATTAGTTTGTTAGTTCCAGTAACATGGCAGACTGTAGTTGGTATTCAATAATTTATATATAGCAGTTTCGTCCATAGAAGTACCCCAGCAGGGACCCCTAGTAACCTGCAAACCCTCTACTCGTAAAGCCTAAACCCCAAACCCGCTTAAAAAAAACAAAACCCACCTTGATTGGGGGGCGTGTAGTCTTATTCTGAAAGTTTGAACGTTTGTTTTGTGGGTATATAGGAAGTAAGATTATATCGCACCCTAAACCCTAAGCCCTAAACCCTAAACCCTAAACCCTAAACCCTAAACCCTCAACCCTCAACGCCGAGGCTTTCTGACCTGAGGACGCAAAATCTGGCGAAGACCGCCCTGGTGGACATCGTCGTGTGCCCTCTTCTGGGGTTTCGGGTTTGGGGCTTAGGGCTTAGGGGTCTAGGGTTGAGGGTTTAGGGCTTAGGGGTCTGGGGTTTAAGGCTTAGAGGCTAGGGTGTACTGTTTAGGGCTTGGGGGTTCGGAGGTTAGGTTAGGGTTCAGGGTTTAATGTTTGGGGCTTGGGGTTTAGGGTCGTTGTTGGGCCTTGGTGAATATAGTAACTCTCCCCTTAGACAACCCATAAGGATTACCTCAAAGCGTTTCGTAAGGTTTAGGGTTTAGGGTCTAGTTGGAGGGTGAAGGTAGTGACCCCTAAACCCTGAACCCCGTAAACCCTAAACCCTAACCACTAAACCCTAAACCCCTAAACCCTAAACCCCTAAACCCTAAACAGCCCTAAACCCTAAACTTTAACCCCTAAACCCTGAACCCTAAACTCGGTAAAGGTAGCTTCGTTTCGGGGTTCATGGCAGGCTTAAACATCGCTGAATTAAGGAGGGGTTTAGGGTTTAGGGTTTAGGGTTTAGGAGGGATCCTCAAGATGATTTTTAGCTTAGGGGTGCTGGAACTAGCTTTTAAATTTTTTGGGTTACCCTAACCCCTCAGAAGCAGCCCAGATGAGAATTTTTGCTAGGGTATCAAGCTCAGTATACTTAAGGTATAATCCTGAATGAAAGAATTTGGGTGTCCTTAGGGAGCCTTTCGTAATCTTTCGTCTCGGGGAGCTTCAGTTCCAAAACCTTACAGAACCCCTACAGAGCCGCTATAGACCCCGTAGGCCCCCCTACCTCAACCATAACATGAGTTGGTTTAGGGTTCAGGATTTAGGGTCGAGTTCTGGTTTTCTACGCAGCATAGAGTTTGGTTTAAGGTTTAGGGTTCAGGGTTTAGGGTTTAGGGTTCACGAAGCCTTACTCTTTCCAAGAGTACCTTATGGGCAGGCTCCATGCCAAACTGGTCCCCTAGGTACACGTACCTCTTCGAGTGTGAAAACGCTGGAAAGATGCTCCCGCTGAAGCTGCTCGACTTTGCACATCCTTTCCCCGATCTTCCGGTATATTGTGCTGAACCCGAAACCCTAAACCCTTAATATACCAGGTTCTCCAGCAGTACCCTTTTGCTCCTTGTCTTTTTATGGGTTCCTTATTAGGTCCAGGCAGTAGGAACATGGGTACCCTTATCATTAAGGGGCTACTGGGGACCCTCGTAGCATGCAAAACCAAATTGTGCGAACATATCTTTCCCGATGTGCCAAGATGGGGGGGGCTATGCCGCGGAACCCGCGTAAGGTTTAAGGACCATACAGCTTGTCTCAGAATCACCCTAAACCCTAAACCCTAAACCCTAGACCCTAAACCGTGGAAGATCTGGGTATTCGTCGCAGGGTGTAAGGCTCAAGGGTCGAGGTTCTAAGGTTATGGTGGTGCCTAGTCAGGACTTGGGTTCGTAGATCGTCCATTGTCAAAAGCAATCTCAAACAAAGTTGTCTACCTTTTTCGCCGAAGTTGGGTCTTCACAGGGGCCATATATATTACCATAGTTCTGGAACTGGGTCCCAAAAGACCATCCTTATTATGGTTTTGGGGTCCTAGTTCCATAACGGTCGTACATTTGGACCCTCTAGGGTCATTATGTCCCTACCTTAAATAGGGTTTAGGGATAGAGAACCGTGCGGGTTGAACCTTGTTCTACATTTCCTGTGCTATTGTGGTAGTGATAGCCGGAAGTATCCCCTTTCCCGAACATGAACATACAAACCCTATTCTGGTAAGAAAAACCCCTAGATTACAAGGGGCTTGCCGACTGGACTGACGAGGTGGAGAAACACTTACACCAGAGTGTGGAATATCTCTTCACCGGTCCCTACCCGTTTGAGAACAAAAGCTTTAGATTTCAGGGTGGCGATACGTCCGGGATTGCTGCTTACGCAGCTGGTGGGTTCCACTGCGCCCCGCAATGATGTTTCCTTAGCAGCGCTGCGCACGCGACTCTCTTCCCTTGCCCCTCCTTCGCTTAGTGGCCTAGTGTAGCCACGTCTGTTTTAGACTTTTAGACCTGCCAGGGTCTTCCATGTCTTGGGAAGCAAAGATTATGCAAGGTCGCAAGCTGGAGCAGCACGCCGCGTCTTCCTCCTCGTTTTTGTGTGTTCCTGTGTGGCACCCTGCTGCAGGCAGCCGGCAATGCCTCCTGGACGCTGTGCCTGCCAATCCGGCAAAGCCAGCACTGAAGCGGGGGCGGGAATGGCGTGCGAAACTATTCATCCTGAAGGACCTGAAAAAGGTTCCTGGGATCGGCCCCTACCGAGCAGGGCGCATCTGAGGCGCACGTGGAGCTCGGACCTGGTGCTGAACGGCTTCCCGCTGCAGCATGATGTCAAATCTTCGACCCCTTCGGCCACACTATACTTTGCCGAGCTCCTCGTCCGCTTAACCAGCCGTATCATCCGAAACCCCTTCCTGCTCGGTACCGATGCCGACACCGATGCGGTGCGGCGTGCGAAAACAGCAGTGCGGCAGCAGCTCCTGTCTCTGGAAGGCCGCGAGCGCGCGCTGTGTGAGCATGCGAAGCTGGTCGCACATCTCCGAAATGCCTGACACAAAGGAATGTCTGCCTGAGCCTGTTTGTTTCGTTCCAGGGGAACAGGGTGTGATGAGTTTTCCCTTCAAACCCTGCCTGAAGCTTCGGCCCTACGCTCGCTGGCATGGAACATGCCCAGGTGAACTTCGAGTCACCTGTTGCTGCTATTGTCTACTTAGACCTGGAATCATTTTCATGCGCAGTAGGAGCCAGCCACAAGCGGAAAAAACAAAGAAGAAGCAGAAAGTGGCCAAGGCCGCGCTTAGTCTCTTTTTTGCCCGTCGGTCCCGAAGCCAGCAGAAAGCCCCTGGAGCGTGCGACCCCCTTCAAATTTGTGCGCAGGAGCCAAAGCCCAGAGTGCGAGCAAAGGAGAAGTCGGCCAAGGCCTCCATCGATTTTCACGACAATGTTAGCCTTTCAGTGTAAGCAATGCCTGGAAACGCTTGGGGGCTTTGCATGCCCATCAAAAATTGTGAGCAGGAGCCAAAGTCAAAAAAGAAGGCAGCGGAGAAAGCGGGAGCCGAGGCTGTCTCAATTTAGATGCACTACGAATTCCGTGAGACTGTTGGGGCTTCTCAACAAGAAGCCAATGCAACTGCTCGCGAGTAGCCGGTCATGGTGCGCGGCCGCTCTTCATCGCCTCTGATGCGTGAAGCGCAACAGGGGTCACTTAGGGCTATCGTTTGTTTTTCCAGCGTCCCTAATTACACGCTAAGTTGCCCGTCCTGCCCCACCTGCCCGCAGTCTGCGGTCGCAGCCTCCTATCGTGCAAACTGATTGCGACATGTCGGAGTCTGCAGCGCCGTCTGAGTGTTCAGGCTCATGCTAGTGCGACGCACCAGAAGACCATGCCAGTCTCGACCAGAGCCCGGTGTTTTGCCCTTTCCAGAGGCTGCAGCTGTCTGAATGGAGTTTTGGTGCAGCGACGCATAGTCGCTTTCTCCTTTTACTCGGGCTAACCGACGAAGCTCTGGCTGCTAAGTGCCGAACACCGAGGCCGCGCCAGACTTGCAGTGCCTCCAAGACCTTGGTGCGCTAGCTGTTCTAGCCGTCGCACGGAGTCAGGCCCTGCCAACTTCACCAACGCAATCACGTGCACCCTTATCCCGACAACTTGATGATCACGTGTGGCATGGTCCTCCTGAGCACACTGTGAATCTGCCCACATGATCCTGGCTGTATGTGGCTTCTCAAAGCCGCTGCAGGCATCGTGCCGAGAGATGAAGTAGAGGCTTGGTGCTTGCAATCCAACCTTCAGAGGACTTCAGGAGAGCAACAAGATGGCTAGCGTACAGCGAGCCGCATGAAGTTTCTCACCGCGACCCACACTTTCCTGCTATCTGCTCCTAGGGCATTGATGTTGTCGGATGATCTGCAAGAAGTGTTGCTACAAGCTTTCGGCCGCAGCAGTCAGTTCGTTGACAGATCGCATGGCACAGCGCCGCACAGGAGCAGGACCTGCGTGGCCCGAAGCTCGCGACCAGATGGCCGTGCCAGCTTTCTGGCAAGTATGCGAGCGTGCCGTTCAAGATGCTGCTCAGCGGCTTTACAGCCAGCGCCTTGAAGCTGACCGCTATAAAGGAAGAAGCCCGGGCATCTTTGTTTCACAAATACTTTGGCCCCACACAAGACGATGTGTTTCGGCATGACTTGCAACTTTGGCGCAGAAACGCTGCAGCCAGGAACGACTACAGCGGCACCATCGTTGACATGTGGAATTCGCCGCTGAATGCCACAAGGCTTCTCCCCTTCTTCTTGGCTGTCCACTGCTTGTTTGATGAGCGCTGTGGCATTGCATGCGAAGTCCAATTCGCATACGCTCTGAGTTTTGTCCCTTGGGTACGTCACCAGGATGTGCATGCCCAGTTCAACCCTCGTCAGCCAGAGCATGAAATACTCGCACGCGTTGGCGACCTTGTTCATGACGCCTGGCACTGCGACCAACGTGGCCTGGTTGGACTGCCTTCCCATTCCTGGTTCTTGTTAGGGGCTCGAGCCGACACTTCCGGTGCATTGCGAGTGTGTCTGGGAGGTGCTCTCCTCGGCAAGCGGCGCGTTTCTCATAGCTGGGTTGATGTGAATAAAGTGGCGGCAGTTTAAGTTCTACAGGCCTTCGTTGCTGTCGTGTCAGAAGCAGGCGTCAAGCTTAAACATTGAAATTTAACATCTCTGAGCCCTACATAAAGCCCTATAAGACGCCACCAAAACCCCAAAACTTAAACCCGCTAAGCTCTAAATCCACCCAAAAACACAAGGGTGAATTCGGTGTTTTCTTAATGAGTACGTAGCAATACCCCCTCTAGTATGTGGTCACTATAGAAGTATAACTTTGGTACAATATCAACCATTCAGGCCGCTATACACCAAAACCCGTCTGGAACCCTTATAGACGCCCTGTAGTACTGTAAAGCCCGTTTGAAGGAAGCTTATTTCAATTAGTGCGTTTCCGACTTTCGTCATGCTCGCGAGGCCTTGCCATATGCTGGCGATCAAGCCCGAGACGAAGGCCAGTAAACTATGGGGTCTGATCCATTTGGAAGTCCTCTTCCCTTAGAGTCCCGATTAGGGAGTTTATTATACAGATGAGTCGTATTAAGGCCCATTATAATATAATTTAGTCTTATAGCAAGCCTCCAAGGAGCAGTTTCAAGAAGACATTTACAGCAGTTCAGTGGACTGCCTTGCGTTCGTGAAGAAGCCGTCATGTGATTCAGGGTACGCTGCTTAATTCGGGGTTTTGGAGTCAGTGGGTGCAGGTTTTGGGTTTAGGGGTTTCAGTCTTTAGGGTTCAGGGTGCGGCGTCTGAGGGGTTTGCGCGCTCAGAGTTTCGAAAGTTCATCAATACTTCATGCTCAATAACATGACCGTCAATAAGGGTTTAGGGTTAGAGGTGAGGCTTTAGGGATGAGGGTTTGGGAGTGGAAGTGCATTTTTTTCAGAGCTTCGGTGTAGGCTTTAGGGACGCTACATTGGTGTGCCGAAACACCTGAGCTCCTAAGCCCGAGTTGTGCCCAAACCAAGAAAACACAAAAGTCCACCGGCCCAAGCCGCTCCAGGGCCGTAACACAGGGGCCGTAATTTGAATTAGGGTTTAGGGTTTATAGGGTTTAGGGTCTAGGTGTTAAGGTTCAGGGTTTAGGGTTTAGGGTTTAGGGGGGCTTTGTGGCAATACGACGAACCGCTCGGAGGAGTGATAGATTTCTTAGGAGGAAGTCTTCGATAGATGCTTCCGGTCACAGAAACATTTTGTTACGCAAGAGTCGTCGAGGCTAGGGGTTCAGGTTTCAGGGTCTAGGGCCAAGTAACCTGATTTCAGAAACTCTAATTTTGGTTTAACTTGCAACCTTGAGCCCTAAACCCTAAACGCACCGCTGTTTTGGAGTCATGATTCAAGCTTGGCACTAAACCTTAAACCCTGGAGCCCTGTAAGACTGCCATTAAGCCCTTACACAGGCCTCATGAACCAAATAGAAGCGTCACCGTAAGCCCAACTTTATGAACCCGCAGATGCACGTAAAGTCGCAAAGCCTAGAAAAACTAACTAAACCCTAAATCGAGAAACCTCGTAAAGACCCGCTTTGAGGAGCAGTTTTCCGTGGCTTTCGATCCATGGGGGGATGCTTTCTACGAGGACCCAAGCCCAACTCATCAGAGCCCTGCAGTCCCTAAACCTACTTGGGTTTAGGGTTTGGGGTTTAGGCTTTAGGGTTTAGGGTTTGGGTTTAGGGTTGGGGGGGTATTTTTGGGGGGTTGAGAGGATTTATAGTTTCGGGTTCTAGGGTTGTCGGTTTCGAGAGGTTTTCTGCAGGATATTTGAGCAATTCAGGGTAACCCTAAACCCTACACTGTACGGTTTAGCTCTAGGCTTGTTTGGGTTTAGAATGGTGGGTTTGAGGGCCGTCGTTCTTTTTGGCTCGGGTTTTCAGATTGTGGGGTTTAAGGTTTGAGTCAGGGTTCAGGGCCCAAGGTGTCCGGTTCAGGGTTTAGGCAAGTACCCTAAACCCTAAACCCTAATCCCTAAGCAGCTAAATCTCTAAAGCCCGAAGTCCCCCAAAACCCCTGAACCCTGAATGCCTAGATTGACCCCATCCGTAGGGCACAGTGACTCGGCAGGTTTCCAAAACAAGACGGATCACTTTTGGGGGGTCGTCCTCATAGCAAGGATCCTACTTGGCAGGATCAGCGAGTTTCCGCAACTCCCATGTCGGTCTCAATACCCTTATCGTTGTGACGTGGTGGTCTTATGCCCATACAGCAGAGTATGCTAAACCCTAAACCCTAAACCCTAAACCCTAAACCCTAAACCCTACCCCCTGAACCCCAAACCTCCTCTTGAATTTAGGCCGGGTGAGGGTGATCGGACTCCCTAAACCCTAAACCCACACCCTTAACTGCTCTCGCGCGGAAACCCGAGAAACGCCTAAACCTCAACCCTTCAAGTCCCAGTAACTGAAGCCGCGGCACCAAAACACCTAGCGCTAAACCCTAAACCCTAAACCGCTTAAAGCTCTAGTGCAGGGTACCAGCAGGTTTAAGGTTTATATTATATAGGGTCGGTGGTCTCTTTGCTTGGGGTCTCTGTCAAGGGGCTGCATGTAGGGATCCTTATTAGGGCTACATTAGGCAGCAGTCGGAACAGATAAAGAGATCACCCCTAAGCCCTAAACCCTAAAACCCTGTTGTTGGGGTTTATACCCTAAGCCCTAAACCCTAAATCCCAGTGCTTAAGGTTTATATCCTAAACCCTAAACCCTAAAGTTGTGGGCTTCAGGAGTACGGCCTCCGGCAGAGTTGGGGCTTTCCGGTGCATGTTGCAGGGTGTCAGGGGTTAGTGTTTACGGTCTTGGGCTTCAATGCCGGGAGGCTTTGGGTTTAGGATTCAGGGTTTAGGGTTATAGGGCTTAGCGTTTAGGATTCAGGGTTTAGGGTTATAGGGCTTAGCGTTTAGGATTCAGGGTTTAGGGTTTAGGGCTTAGGGTTTAGGATTCAGGGT